AGAGATCTTTTTTTTTTATATAAGCCACACCCACAACCTTCTGACCAATCACAGCTCGCCTCTCGGAGCTCAGTACCGGAGGGAATGGCGTAGCATGGTTTAGCTATAGCTTAGCTTCTTGTAATAGCAGTGTTTCAGAAGTTCTCCATTTTGCGAACTTTGAACTCGGTGAAGCTCGTGTCCAGCACAGTTTTCTTCCCGGGAATTCAGGTAAAAACCAAAAAGAGTCCAAATATTTTCTTCAACGAAGACGGAATCGCTTGTGGTTTCCTGTTTTTTGCGTTACTTTAGGCGCCTGCGTACGTTCCTGTACCGTCTCCATGGCGACGCCAAACCGTACGTAGTTACAAAATGAAGGATTTTTTAAAAATTTAACAAAAATAAATAAATGAATAAATAAAAAAAATGAATAAATAAAAATCATCCCTGCGACAGACTGGCGACCTGTCCAAGGTGACCCGCCTCTCGTCTGGAACATTAGCTGGAGAGGCACCAGCAACCCCCCCGACCCACTAAGGGACAAGGGTGACAGAAAATGGATGAAAAAAATAAATAAATTTTGGAGGGTTTTAAAATCAACTCTGAATTATAATCAATGAGAATCGCGATTCTTAAGTGCAGGGCGGCGCTACAGAGACGGTTTCTCCTCCAGACAGTTGCTGTGGAAAATCAGCTGCTCTGCTGGAAAACAAAAACAGAATATGTACTTTATTTAATTTCCTCTAAATTTATATGTTTCTGCTTTTCTGACGCTGTGAGCCTGAAACTGAAGTCCGATTCTTTGAGAACTAAAACTGAATTTGATGTTGCTTTTCATAGGATTAATTGCTAAATTGTTGGCTTTAGATTGGAATATCTTTGAGTTGAGGTCATTTATCTCTGCAGGTTTTGTAAGGAGAGCTGCCTGAAGGATTTGGTTTAACGTTGAGCCTGTGCAGGCGTTGATGTGCTGAGTCGAGCTGAAAGCTTCATCCAGTTGGTTTTCTCTCACCGACCTTGTCAGGATGGAAGGAAGCAGATAAAAATTATTTATTTTTTTCTTGCTTAAGCTTGATTTACAGCTCGGTGAACTGCTCTAACATTGCTGGAAGTTGCAGGAAATGAGATATATTTTATTTCATTTGGTTGCATCACTGTTGCTGCTGCTTGTGATGACAATCTGCACAACCAAGAACAATAATCCCCCCTGGATTTAGATTTCCATCTCATTTAGAGCTAAAAATGCAGCTTGAAAGTAAAATGAGGCGCTTCAACTTAAATTAGAACCAGAATATCCAGTTATTGATGTTTATTACAGTTTTATCAGTTTGCAGGAGGTTGATCTGCAGATTTGGAGAGGATTGAGCTGCAGAGATGCATCGTTGTGTTTCTGAGTCAACCGTTGCTTTGTACCTGCAACCTGGCGCTAAAGCTGCGGTTCTGACCGGGCCAGAAGTATTCAGACCCGATGCAGCCGCTGCTGCAGTTCTGGTGGTTCTGTAGGAATGTTTGTGATGATTAAAGCATCATCCACATTTCCTGGGAAACTCTGAGAATAAACCGATTTTTACTCCATCATCTCACTGACTGCAACGTTTAGTGGAGCCGCCAGCGATTGCTTTGGGAAATTTACTATTAAAGGCCAGTTATTATTGGAAACCATAATATGATTTATCAGCATCAGTTCATATTACTTTGTTTATAATTTACAAAACTGAAAAGAGACAAAGCTTTGAATTTCACAACACAAAAATAACCAGAGCAAGAAAACAAACTTCAGTCATGAGCAGAAAATCTCAGTAACCTTGAATTGTTACTATTATTATTATTATTATGATGATTATGATTATGAAAGGGTCCTTCAGAGGATCTGATTGTCCAGCTGCTGCACAGAAACTGTTTCTGATGACTAGAAGCCGGTTTCAGGTTTCGTTAAAATGATTGATCCTTTATTGACCCTGAAGGGAAACTAGATGTTTTTGTATCATTTAATTACAGAGTTACTGTAGATGATGACTGTGGGCAGGAAGGATCTCCTGTAGCAGTCTGTATTACAACGTATTTGAAGAAGCCTCTGACTGTTTCTCTACGTTTTATGAATTGGATGGTCATAGTTACTCATAATTTTATTAATTTTGTTTGTTTCTCCAGTTGTTCAGCTAAATACCGACGTATTTATTTTCCTCAACCAGCTCCACTTCTTCTCCCATGATGATCAGGTTTGACCTTTGACCCATTTTAGGGTCGGAAACAATTTATCATTCAAAAAACTATTTTTCTATTAAAACAATGTAGAGATTCTGATTAAATTATGACAGAGAAAAAGAGTTAGATCAGTTTGTATTTAAAATCAGTTTGTGGATAAAATTCTGTAATTTAAATGACCAGTGTTAGCTTAGCTGCCCAGCTTTTCCTTTAAATAAAAAACATAAAAATATTAAGAATACATAGCCAACATGCAGATTTAATCATATTTTCAAATGTATTGAAAATATGTAGTGGGGAAAAATAACAAAAACAACACATTTAATTGTAAACATTGAGTTTTTTTTATTTACCATTAATAACTGAAATTTATCATGACAACAAAAAACCTAAATTCTTCTAAGAAATTTTCTGGGTAAATGATAAAAATGATAATTGCCCAACTTCGGGTTGTTCAGGGACAGCAGAACCTAAACAAACTCGTTTCCTCTGATCTGTTTAACATTCAGAGCTGCACCCAATAAACTGAAATGGTGTTTAAATATTTATTTATTTGAGTTTTTTCTGGGCCGTTTGGCTGTAAATTGGCCTCTGGAGCGTCGTTCTGCCTCTACCGGCTGCTCACCTGAACAACGGCGGTTCAGCCAGTTTATTGCAAATGAAGACGACTTGTGAGCGCAGAGAATCCTGCAGAGATGCAGGGAAATAAAGACAAACGCAGTAATTACTGTGGCTACGCTAGCTGCTGCCTTCCTCCTGGGACCTTGTTCTCTGTAATATTTCCCGCCTTCAAACCTTTTGCTAACCTTTACACTCCGAGCTTTCAGACTAAACATTTATCTGCTGAACTCACACATCGCTTCCCGCTCTGCAGTTTCTGTATTTCTGCTTCTGAGGGACGAGTTTCCCTTCAGTTCCTGATCCGATCCTCACCGATTGGGTTGCAGATGCAGAAAGTTTGACCTGCAGATTGAAAAATCTGCAAAATGTGGCAAATCATTCCACTCGATTAATCGTCAGAATAGCCAATTAATCAATAACTAAAATAATCATTGCTTGCAGCCCTGCAGTGCAGACGTTGTGAAATCCCTGATTTTAAAGGTGAGCGATCCCGTTTTGTTTTTATTTTCTGTTTGCAAAAAAAAGCACAATGTGAAATCAAACCGCACCAAACAGATGAAATCAGTTTTTTGTCTGAACCAAAGTCGTTCCTGGTGTGAATTCACCCTGGAGAGCAGCGTCGGGGACCGCACTGGCAGATTATCATAACTATTTAAGGAATATTAAGGAATTATTGACTTAAAACAAGCTCCTTTCTGACAAGTTACTGATAAGTTAGTTTCGTCTCATTTCAAGTGGACTGAGATCCAGACCAGAATACTTGGTGATATTTTGTGTTTTGCAGTGCAGCTGTCTAGGAGAACCTCCTCAGATGTTCCTATAGAGTTGGATTTTTACGTTGGGATGTAAATAAAACTCCTGCCATCATGTCAGCTGTTTTCACCACAGATCAACTGAATCCACCGTGGATCAGGAATCAGCCCATAATTCCTGGGTTGTGATTGATATTCAGCGGAGAACTGAGGTTGACACAGTAAACCTAACGAGGTGAAAACATTTGGCTTGTTCGTCCCGGCTGCGGCTGTTTCTGTGCTGAATAATGGAGAAGCCCGGCCCATTACATCAGCTGAAAGCCTCTTTGTCGTATCAGAGCCATCAATAATTCAGTAAAATGTGTTAATTCGCCGCATCGTAACCTGAGAGAGCAACTGTATGTTCTGGATTGTTTGGTTCAGAGAAGCGTTTAGTTCTGAATAAACGATTCCCTGCTGAACAAACGGAGGAGTTCCTGGTTAAAGTAACGCTCCACTAGCAGCGTGTGTTCCTCCCTCTGGACCCAAAGCTTCCCGTCGCAGCAGAGACGATGCAGCAGCTTGAACCGAACCTCTGATGGTTCGGTTCAAGATTGGATGAAATCCTCTGGACAGATTTCATCCAATCATGACGCTGCAAATGGTCTTTATAACAGTTGCACTAAACATGTTTCATATTTAAAGGAAGACTCTTCTTCCAATTATTCCCAATCAGCTGATGTATTTATTTTTTATTCCTTGTGATCTTCCAGACCATTGTGCAGCAACATGTGGGGGAAGGGCATGTTTCTACTTTCAACTTCTTTAGAGTTGCATATGATTCACCATGGCAACCATTCAGCTGCTAAACGCCTGGGTGGACCTAGCCCCGCCTTCGAGGCGCAGCTCCTCCCCCACTCAGATCCTTCAGACTAGCCAGCAGCAATTAGCAAACAGCTGCTGAGCTCCTCATAGGAGCTGCTGCTCAGAGCGACGCTGGTAGAAATGTTAAAGGGTTACTAGAGGAGCCATGTTGGGATGACTTCCTGGAGGCGGAGCTTCAGGAAGAGCAGGAGCTTTTAAAGAGACAGAGGTCCAATTTCAAGACATTAAATCAGAAAGTCAAATTTATTTTAAGTCATATTTGATGTGTTTAACATTTTATAACTGATGTTATAAAGTATAACTGTGCCTGGAAAACATGCTACTGCCCCTTTAAGAAGATTCATCCCATCCAAATTAACCAACATGATGATGATATTACATAATCATTAAAATGAAAACCTTTGACTAGGCTCTTGAAGGTCACGTTTCCTTAAGGAGACATTTAATTAAACCTCCTGTGTTTGAGATGTAGCGCTCTCTGGTGGCGTTTGGTGTTTTGAGATTATTCTCTTCATTTTCTAGAAAAAAAAATGTATTTGGAATATACACCCATAAAACACTTAATACTATCCCTTTAAACAAACATGATTTACTGTAATATTTACTGTAAGGCTGATGAATGCTCCACTATTAGCAGATGATGGATGAATCATACTGGGACCCAAGCTGTGGTATTCAGTGGTTTACTGCATTACTACTGGAAAAACTAGACAAAACTATTTTCCTTTTGTTTTATTATGTAGCTCAACAATTTCCTGACATTTTCAGTCATTTTTGACATAAAGCTAAAGCATTTTATGGCAGCTGAAGGTAACAGTTACTGTAAAACACATAACACTGCCCCTTTAATGGAGTGATGATTGATTTTAAAGGTCCAGCAGCTAAAATTACCTGAACACTGGACCGGATCGGTAGAATCAGAGTGTGTGTGTGTGTGTGTGTGTGTGTGTGTGTGTGTGTGTGTGTTCTGGTGTCAGTAAAAACACACAGTAATGGTTTCCGGCCCGGGAAGCGCCTGGGCCGCCGCCGTTCTGATAACGGTTCTCTGAGAGCTCGTCATGCTGGACTCGCCGGCTTCCTGCCAGCCGCCGCTTCTCCTTTTGTTGGCGGTGAAAAGAGTTTGATAAGCAGGGCAGCCGAGTCCGGCCGCGCCGCGCCGGGGGGTGGAGCCAGACAGAGGCGGTTAAATTTAACCGGCGGCGCCACAAAGCCGCTCCGCCGCTGTGATTGATTCGATGGCGCTATGAGACGACCGCCGTCTCCGTGTCCTGCTCCCACATTTACATTTCACCTCAGATAATCAGGACTTCAGAGCCACCGGCCGTTTCCTGGGCTTCACCTGCTGCTGCTTGGAAAACATAAAACTCTGAACAACTTTCAGCACTTTATTTATTCCCAGCACAAAGAGACGCTTTTCCGCCTGTGGATTGTTCACCAAATATTCAACAAAGAAAGTTAAAAAAAATCAACATTCATCAAGCAGAACCTGATGAATAAAAGACATTTATCTCAGCAGAAACAGAACTTTTCTTTTCACCATGACAAAGTCAGCTGGACGGTAAATCTGGGGTGATTAACACCGGAGCTGGAAAACATTTTGAAAATCCAAAAAAAAAAAAAAAGAAATATGAAGTGTCTGTAAACAAAACTGTCCTTCAAAAACAGGGCTAGTTGCTGCTTCTACCGTAGAAATGAACTCGTTTGAACGGCTTTGTCTCAAACTGGAAACCTAATTCAGTCCGTTTGGGGAGAAGATGAGGGATTTTAAACGTTGCATTTTGTTTACAGCTTTCTGAGACTTTCCTGTTTCTTCAGGGAGAACGAAGTCCTGAAGGTCCAGCTGAAGAAGTATGTCGGCGCCGTTCAGATGCTCAAGAGAGAAGGGAGCCAAGGCAATGACGGTAAGACGCTTTCTACTCCTCCTTCCTCCATGTCTCCCCGACCAGAAATCAGATGTTTGGTCCGGTTCGCTTCCAGAAAATCCCACAGATAAACGCAGAATAAATGAACTTTCAACTCATCAGTTCAGTCACAGGATTTTCAATAATCCGTTTGTGAAACTACACTGTCAAAAAAGAATATTTAGTTTGAAGCTAAATATTTACCTCGGAGCAAAACATTTGGTTAAAATGTTAATTCACTTTCTGATAACCAGAAGTGGACTACCAAAGTAAAAGCCTGGTCTTCCAAACCTCTTCATTAACTCCTGCTTTAAATCGCTGAACATTTGACTAGCTCAGTGCTAACTAAGCTAACTATTTAGCTAGCTCAGTGCTAACTAAGCTAATTATTTGGCTAGCTCAGTGCTAACTAAGCTAACTATTTAGCTAGCTCAGCACTAAGCTAAGTATTTAGCTAGCTCAGTGCTAACTAAGCTAACTATTTAGCTAGCTCAGAGCTAACTAAGCTAACTATTTAGCTAGCTCAGTGCTAACTAAGCTAACTATTTGGCTAGCTCAGGGCTAACTAAGCTAATTATTTAGCTAGCTCAGTGCTAAGTAAGCCAACTATTTGGCTAGCTCAGCGCTAACTACTTAGCTATGTGAGGTAAATATTTAGTTTGGAGATGCATATTTACCTGTTCAGCTAAATATTTAGCTGTACAGGTAAATATGTAGCTAAATGACTCAAATCAAAATGTTTAGCTAGCTGATAGCTAATTACTTAGTTTTAAACATTTAGCTTACTAATTAATTATTTTTCTTGAGACTTTGACATTTAAAAATGAATAAATTACATGGTGAAAATGCGGCTGTTTTCGGCCAAACATCTGAAGTTATTTCTGCGCAGCAGTAATTCCTCAGCCTGACGGCCGTCGGCCTTGAAGTGCTGCTGAGATTCGACTTTGACTTTGTGTTTGCGTTGCCGGGGGACAGAAGCGCTGCTCCGTGTGAAGAGCAGTAAGATAAGCCGCTGCTTTTAAAGGGGGGAAATAAAACGAACACGGCAGATTACAACGGGACACATAATAGTTAATTGCATTTTGGGGGAGCGAAGGGAGAGCGGTTATCGCTGTCGCTTCAAGGGTTTATGTGTTTGTGAGCTGCTTTTTTGTCTGTTTTTGTGAAAGCGCAGTAATGAGCTCTGCAGACCTTTGTCATGTTAATGTGTTTTTTATGTCTATAAATCCTTCTATTATTGCACAGCAATATCAGCTGCCTACAAATTTCCAAAAGAAATATTGGCTTTGGTCACTTGTGTTGTTTTTCACCTGGTTAATGGAGTTTCTGTCGGAGGGAAACGGTTCAGCCTGGAAAACTTTGGAAATATTTTTATAAACATTAAAGAAACGGTTCTGGATTTTTGATTTGGTCTCTTCTGGTTTTTATTCAGGATCAGTCGGTTCTCTGAAGGGAACCAACCTTTCTGTCCAGCCCCAATAAAGTCCAGTAAAGATGTTTTCTTTGGGTTTAAATTATAGATATTTTGGTAAATTTTCTTCTCTACTGTCAGTCTGTGTTTCACACAGGAAGGTTATTGTTGGTGCACCACCTCCAGCCTCCATTTCCTGTGTAAATAGTCAGCTTCTCTGCAAAAATAGAAAAGAAAAAGTAAATCCTAATGTCAGCGTCCACATTTCTGATGAAGCTCCTGAATCTGGAAAAAGATGAACTCTGCTCCAAGAACCTGAAGAAAAGATTAAAAACTACAAATATATTTATTGTCCAGCTCATACGTAGTTTATTCAATAATTTAGCAGCAGAAATGGGTTTTAAATTGAAATGTTGCTCATTTTGTCAATAGGTTTTGATTAAAAAAGGCCTCATAATTGAAACGATTCTAACTTTTTAATCAGTTCCCACCAGTAATGAAATGAATTTTAATCCAATTAATCAATCAATCAAATTTTATTTAGCACATTTCAGCAGCAAGGCATTTCAAAGTGCTTTACATAATTACAATAAAAACATCCAGGCATCTTTATATTAAAAAACTCAGTTAAAAAACACAAAATCTTTTTTTGTGTCTAGTTTCTGGTGCAACTACCTCAGTTCAACTTTAAAAGGAAAAAAATGAACTTACAGGGAAGTTTTCAGCAAGATGAAGGATTTTAAGTTATCAATCCTCTAATATTGATGGAAAATATTCTCACTATAACAAGACATGTTTTCATGTTATAAGTTAATCAGTTAAGTTTAATGTTTTCTATCAATATTAAGGAATTATGGGCATAAAACAAACAAAGTAACTTGTAAGTTAGTTTTGTTGTATTTCTGGTGAACTAAGATAATTACACTAAAAACTAAACAGAAATGCTCCGTAGTGTTTAAATGTTTCTGCAGTCCAGAACCAGAACCTCCTGTGTGTCCCATTGGACCCGGGTCGGTTTGGTGAGGATCAGGAGCGATCGGACTGGCACCAGTAAAAATCAGGAAACCAGTGGGACCTGTGTGGATCTGTGGGTTGTTCTGGTTTTCCTCTGTCGTAACGTCTCTCAGCTCCTCAGCGGCGTCTCAGTGATTCCTGCCTCCGTCTTCTCCTGCTAATGATGGGCCTCTGTCCATCGTGCTTTGATGCTGACTGCCACGCTGACTGTGTGTGTGTGTGTGTGTGTGTGTGTGTGTGTGTGTGAGCAGACATCATGCAGAGCGATGTTTTCCTCTGTGCTGCCCTGCGATCGGAGCGCTGGAGCGATCGCATCTGCAGCGCCGTCAGAACCGCTCAGACGGCTCTCTGCTCCCTTCGCTCCCAGAACGGACATAATTACTGTTTCTGTGTGAGAGGAAGTCTCTGCGTCTCTCTGCTCTTAAAGCAGCTGGTTTGTTGATTGTAATTGATATTCCTGTTTGACCGTCTGCGTGTGAGCTTCACGCGTCGAGATTTCATGACGTCTTCATTCGCTGCTCTGTGACTTCAAGCATTTTTATTTTGGCACAATGTTTAGAAAATCAATCAGGTTTATTTTTGTGGCTCATTTGAGAAACTGAGTTCTTTACATCGTAAACACACTAAACTATAGAAACAGCAAACAGAAAAACCAGGAAACGTCGTATTTTCATCAGAATGTTGATCAAAGTTTCATTAATGGTTCAAAATCGGCTGTAATCGGGATTTTAGTCTGGATTTTCAGGAGCTCAGAGTTTCGGCTGTTTTTCAGTTTGCTGGAAGTTTGTTCCAGATCTGTGGTGCATAGAAGCTGAAAGCTGCTTACCCATGTTTGGTTCTGGTTCTGGATGCAGAGCAGAACCAGAACTAACAGGTCGATCCAGCAGCAGATCTTTAATCCGTTCAGTGATTTATAAATGAGCAGCAGTTTAAAGTCTCTGAGAGAAGGAATGTAGAACCGGGTGGTTTTAGTCAGACCAGCAGCAGCAGCATTCTGGATCAGCTGCAGCTGAAATTCTCTGCTGTGTTCGGAGATGAGAGCTGCTGCTGCGTGGAAACATGGCTTCCCTGTTGCTAATGCCCTCCAAAGGAAAGCTGTTTGTCTCCACGGTGATGGTGTTTCAAAGCCGCGGCACCGTAACTGCATGGTGGCGTGTCACCGCGGCGGCGTCCGATGGCGGCTCCTCTGGGAGTCGCTTCCTAACAGGAAACACCAGATCTCGGCAGATTGCTCTGCTCAGAATCGGCTGCAGCGCTCCAGATGAGACGGAGCAAAATGGACCTAGCCCCGCCTCCAGCCGCAGCTCCTCCCCCACTCTGCTCCTCCAGACTAGCCAGCAGCAATTAGCAACCAGCTGAGCTCATCATAGGAGCTGCTGCTCAGAGCAGCGCTGGTAAAAACGTTAAAGGGTTAAAGAGGAGCCATGTTGGGACGACTTCCTGGAGGCGGAGCTTCAGGAAGGGGAGGAGCTTTTAAATCAGGTCATATTTAATATTTTTAGTATGTTTATAACAACTGAAGGCAACATAGTTACTTGATTATGCCATAAAATGGAACTATGTGCCTAGAAAACACAGAACAGTGTTAAAGTTGTTGTTTTGTTTTGGTTGTTTTATGAGACTCTGCATGGAAATTAGCATTTTTCTTAATCTGTCATATTTATGGCAATGTATTTTCGTAAATGTCTTTTTATTGAATAGAAGCTCGACAGGAATTAGGGCAGTGAATGACCCGGGAATCAAACCTTGGACCGCGTTAGCCTCTGAATGTGCTGCACTAGAGGCATAAATTAAATTAAGATAAAATAAAACTGCAGTTTGAAACGTTTAGTTTTCCTTCTGCGCCTCAGACTGAGCTGCTGTCGGTCTGTCACATGAAATAAAGACATTAAAGTTTCATAGTAGGAAAGTTGACGGCCTCTGAAGGCGCTAACTGTGTTTGGCCCATAAACAGCCTCCGCCCCCCGCGCGCGCCCGCCCTGTGGACAGAGTCGTATTCATCAGCAGTAAGGAGATGGATTACACGGCCATTTAAAAGCCAATAAGCTGGCTCTGTGCTGCCTCTGGCCTAATGAGTGGATGAGAGGCATTTGTCACCGCCGCCGCCCCAACAGGCCTGTAGCTTATTCATTACACACTCGGCTCTGCGGTTATTGCCGCGCTGCGCGCTCCGCCTCGCCCTCGGTCCGAACGGCGCCGGCGGCTGTCAGCTGTTCCTCAGCGCCGCTCTGCTGTAACGGGTCAACATGGAGGAGGAACTCATCAGCGGGTTGGGAGGTTAATATGAAGCTAATGTGTGCAGGCATGTTGGCGGTTTCTGGATAAATCTGCAGACACGCACATTTAAACGACATGCTGCACCTGGTGGCGATGCTCAGGCCCCCTAGAGGCGGCGTGGGGGAGCTGCAGCCGGCCTAAATTAAAAATGAGCGAAGCCGTTGTGACGGTCCGAAGTTATTTACATCCCAGAAAGTAACGAGTCCCGGTCGATGTGCACTGCAAAAACACAAAGCCTCACCAAGTACCTGGCCTAGACTCTTCTGTAACTTAAGTAGCTTTTCAGCAAGACAGAGAAGCTTCTTTTACGTGAATTATTCCGTAATATTGATGGAAAAAGTCAGATTATTTCACATTTTTCCGTGTTGCAAATAAAATAATCTGCCCGAGGAACTGGTAATCTTTCATCAATATTAATGAATTATTGACTTAAGCGGCTCCTGTTTCTTGCTGAAACTTTGCTTGTAAGTTTCTTTTGTCTTAATTGAGATTGAGATATTTGCTCTATAAATTAGTTTTTACAGCCTGAATGACGGCAGGAATCAGAAAACGAGGAGCATCGTTTGGCCGTTCAGGTCGGACTCCAACAGAACCGACATCTTTACTGAGCGAAAGTGTGTGTGTGTGTGTGTGTGTGTGTGTGTGTGGCATACAGCAATTAATTCCTCAGATTCTGTTTACTCACCTGGCAGCAGAGAGGCGACATCACCTATTGTTTGCTACAGGTGGGAGCAGGTGGTCGCTGTGTGTGTGTTTCTGAACAGTGCGTCCAGGTGGGCGCCGCGGGGCTGTGACGGAGCTCATCACCTGGACGGGCCGGTGTTAATGAACATTTTAATGGCTCCGTTCGGCTCCAGAACCTGCTGGGAGCCGCGGCGTTTTCACCACATGAAGCTGGAAAACAACACAGAAATTTTAACTTTTTATTCACCGCATTTAAAATCCAACATTTAAAATCCAACATTTAAAATCCAACATTTAAAATCCAACATTTAAAATCCAACATTTAAAATCCAACATTTAAAATCCAACATAAATGAGATTTCTGTCCAGTTCTTGAAAAGCTGAACTTCTAAACACATTTTTGATCTTTTCATCTTACACATTAGTTTTGTTTCATAATCTGTTAAATAAAAAGAAAAAAGATGTTCCCTGTGTTCATGAAAATATATTTTTTTCTTCATATGAGAGGCCGATAGATTCTGTAAAAAAATTTCTAAGCAGGATTATTATCACCTGTATTAAAATCAGGATCATTTAAAGAGACAAATTTTCTGTTCTGCTGGAAAATAACAGAAACACAGATATTAAATAAAAGAAACAAGATATAATTTTTTTTGTAAATATGCAATATAAATATATACATATATGTATTTTTTTTGTTTAAAATATATAAAAGAATATATATACATATATTTATATATGTATATATATTTCCAAATCTAGACTGTTACATAAAAAATGATCAAATACAGTCAGTGACATACTGGATTTAAGTAATCTCTGGGACACAAAATAGTTCATTTAAAATAAATTATCAATAAAATATGTAAAATGAAAAAATGTAATATTAAACTACTTGGATAATGTTCAAAGTGGAAAAATAATATAAAAATGATGAGTTTCTAATCACATTAATGTGATTTAAAATATAAACAGTTTTTATATAAAGCAGCTGGTAGTTTTCTCCAGAATTTCTTCTGTTTGGACTTTTGGGTTAATGGCAGCAGAGCAGGAGAAACAGGAAGTGATGTCATCCTGAAATCTGCTGCAGCGTCGGCTGGTTTCCATCCGAACAGCAGAACCTCCCGAAGGCTCTGAGCCGAGCCGGGACTGACTGCAGGCGGAGCGGGAAGGATGGATGGATGGAGGGATGGATGAAAAGAGGGATGGATGGATGGATGGATGGATGGATGGATGGATGAAAGGAGGGATGGAGGAGGCTGGAAGCCTCCAGGTGTTTCCTCTGCAGCTCTTTTCGTCTCGGGTTGTTTCTGGATTCCTGTGCCTGCAGGCCGACCGTGTGCTCTGCTGCTCTCAGATTTAAGGTTATTAATATTTGAGTTTCAG